AGGGAGTTGACAGAAACGATTGCATTTTTGGAAATGGATAAAGCTGCGTTCTTTCTAAGATTCCAAAACATTGTAGAGGAAAAGGAAGAAGATTTGGGAGAGAAGATGGCGGAGATGTTGACAGAGATATTAGGAAAGGACAAACAGGAAACAAGGAGAGACATAGACGAAACATATAGAGTATATACAAATTATGCACAAAGGCATAGATTAGCAAGAGAGGTACATATAAGATTTACTAGAAGATCAATAAGGGATGAAATATATAAAAAAACACATAATCTTGATTCTATCCCTCTGTTAATGCAGCCTAAGACTGCATCCATTTGTTTATCATATTTGCATACTTCGTGCTTCTGGCAAAGCTGGCGAATGACAGTTAACAAAGAAATCCAATCAAGACATATGTTAGCATTAAACACAAAATTAAGAGACTAGGCTTTGTACTTTAGAGTTGAGTATTGAATAGAATCAAGCAAAAGGCTTAAAACAGGAGCTATCACTACAGAGAATTGCTGATTAATTTAGTTCCAATTCTATCCATGTAAATTGGAGTTAGCTGTATTACATTTTTCTTCTGAGTAAAGGAGTACTAGGTTCAGAATCATTACCTCTTCCAAAATTATTTTGAGTAGCCAACATCGTGAAAAAGAAAACTACCTCCATAACCTGTTGCCACAAAGCCACCAGCAATCATTTTCAATTTGTGGATATTTTTACTTTTCTCTGTACCTTAAGAGTGGACTTTTCTATCTCTTATTCCTGTCATTTCCTCATTTCTTCTTCATGTTGAAAAATATGAAAATTGAAAACTAATCGTCTGCTGATAATTAGAAGTATCCTATTTTGGCTATCAATATTAGCAACTAACTGTTCAATTTACCTGTTAAAGCTAATTTTGTCAAATCTGTATCTTTTTTTCGTTCCTTCTTTGCAATATGTCATTAGTTAATTAATTCACCATAGGCTACATAAATAGCTAATTAATTAAATATGAACATTTTTATCATTATGTTGATGAATGAATGGAAACTGATCTTGATATTTTATAGAAGATTGAAAACATGCTTTCATGCTTTGATAAATGTTTACATGTAGGATTCCAGCTGAGACTTTGTTTCATTGTTTTTTCAGCCATTCACTCAGTTATTCATAAGGAATTAACTATTCATTTAGTGTTGGTGTGGCCTACAAATTAAGGATCAGAACATATACAGGTGATTAGTAACAGGACTAAGAGAAAATCTCTTCATGGGACATTGTGTCAACTAAAGTATTCATATTGAATTAGGAATGTGCAAATCATTAGCTGTTAGCCTCTTAATAGCTGACTGGGCCTGAAAGCAAGTTTCTCACAGAGACTTCTTTAACTAGATTTATTGAAAAGGAAAAGGGATTAAGTGAGAGAATTTTGACAGGTCGTACTTTTTCTTTAGTGTTAAAAGTATACCTTTATTCTCTTGTTAACAATCTTTTGCTAGACAGGACTGCCGACTATCCATCTTGTTGATAATGAAAGGATACACAGATTTTTCAAGGTTGTGATTTTTATCTAATCAATTGTCTTCCCTCCCAGTTTCTGAGCAGATTATTACAGAGGTACCTTGAAACTGCATTGACCATCTTTTGACATCCACCTAGACATTTGAGTCACAATAGCAATAGCACTTAGACTTATACAGTATATCACCCCATATTACAGCACTCTCTGGGCAGTTTACAATGTCAGCATATTGTCGCCAACAATATGTGTCCTCACTTTACCGACTTCGGAAAGATGGAAGGATGAGTCAACCTTGAGCCCTATCAGGATCGAACTCCAGGCTGTGGTCAGAGTTTGCCTGCAATACTGCATTCTAACCACTGCACCACCAGTCATGATGTTGCTTGATTTGAAACATTCGTCTGAACAATGTGTGATATCTTACACTAAGTGCCTCATTCTGTTCTAAAACTGCCAATACTTATTCGTCTAAATTAGTGTGAAGTATTTGGAGGCTTGGCAATTAGAAACAAGGTAATATTTACAGCATTTAACTAGAAAGGCAATACATTGTAATCTTTTAATTATTAGCCCTTCAGTCTTGTGTATGTACGCATGCAATATCTTTTAAACAAATTAGAGATCTATACAGAGAAAGGAAAACCTTACTCAAACTACCTTGGTTTTTATAAGGACCATTGTAAAATGCATCTTTGTGTAGCTTTGAAGGTCTTGAACTATAAATATAGTATTGGCCAGTTAATAGTCTTTGTTCTCCAATTATTTCAGGAGAAAGGGCTTGTGTATGGGGCAAGATTATGGGGATGAAATAACAGTTGATGCTGTTAAAATATTCAGAAATATTCCAATATTTATTGGAAGAATATTAAGTAAAATCATCTTTGATAAATGCATTCTGCCAATAAAGGAGAATATTTGTAACTCACGGTTAAAATGAGGGGTCCTTGATGTTCTTTGAGCTTGGCTGTTTTCTTGCAGATGTTTCATTGCTAAAGTAGTTAACACTCTAGCACTGATGATGTTACCTAGTTTGGTAATGAAACGTCTGCAAGAAATCAGCTGAGCTCAGAGAGCACCAAGGACCTCTCAAATGCATTCTGTTCCTTCATTAGAGCAAATTAAACCTAGGAGCAGAAAAAACAAAACAATTGGTTACTTGAAGAAGATACCTGCTGAGAAGCATCTTTTTTATATAATATTTTATTAATTTTCCAATTTTACATTTGAATATTTAAATCAAACATGGTGACTGGGTTACAATAGTTCAATAACAAAATCTTAGTGCAAATCTCAGGTTACAACATCTCTTTTTCCCTTAACATTTACTGTCTCATATTCAGGTTAGTACATTTCTAATTATATCAATTCAATAAGAACATCATTATTACATTTATCAATAAATTTTTAGCTTATACATACCTTAATTACATTCAATCTTCATAAACAATCCATATCCTGTTATTAATTTTTACTCAGTTTTTAATTTCTTATCAATATTCCAATTTAACCTTTGATATTTATAATTTTCAAACTTTGGGTAACCAAAATTTCCCTTATCTCACTTCATAACAAACTATAATATCCAAAATACATATTTTATCTATTTGAATATAATCTTGTTCTATTTCCTAAGAGTTATCTATTTCCCATCATATTAAATCATCTACTTAATAACACAATATCCCCTTTAATAAATCAAAACCATTATATATATTGCCTGGGTTAATCAATAGATCAAACATATTCTTAATATTTAACTTTATTTTCCCTTTTAAGTCCAATTTTTAAATATTAAGCCGATAAAATCCTTATTTTCAACTAGTTTCCAAAAATTATAAATCTAATAACCAAAATTCCCCTTATCTCAACATCTCCCTTTAATATTTGGCAATATAAAATCCCCTCTAATGAGTCAAAATCCCAGTTTTTTCAACCTTATTCTAGCTTTCTTCCTTTGCCAACTAGGTTTCCATATCATCACTTTTAAATCATCAAATAGATCTCCCTCTATTCTTACATATGTTATTTGAATTAAAGGAGACCATTTGATTGCCAGTTTTCTGGAAGGACTAGCCCATTTGTATTCATTAAATTGTCTCCCTGTTATTCCAGTTCCCCATGTTTGCTCTAATATATTTGTCTTCAATTCAATCTGTTCTACTTCTTTCTCAGATTTCTTCTGGTTTATATAGAAAGTCATTTCCATTTTCAATGTTGTCACTTCCTTTTCTGGATTTTCTATCAGGTGTATTTGATGGTCAATTGAGTCCTCTGTCTTCATATTGGGTTGTCCCGCTTTTTCTGTTATCTTCTGCATTGCTGATTCTTTAGTTGTAGTCAAAATTTGGTTTTGTGCATCTAAGCTGGCATCTTGATCTTTTATTTTAGGTCTTATTTTATCACAAGTTACAAGACTGCTTTCATGTATTGCTTCATCCATCTCTTTCACTTATTTTGTAAATAGTCTTTCTAGTAAAACTTATTTGTTAAGCAAAAGTCAGTAAAGTTTTACAGTCACAGTTCAAGTGGGCCAATTTTGCTGCCCAGATGTTCTCTTACAACTAAATCTTCTCACAGATGGTTCCAAGGTCAGGGAAGTCTTATCTAGGTCTAGGCTTTGGGCCAAGTCTCTTATTAGGAAATAACAAATTGCAATACCAAGCTTCACCATAAGATGTCACTGATGCAATTTAGAGTTTTTTAAGTCCCAAATTTTTCTAATTCTTTTTCCAATTTTATTTCTTTTTTATAAATAAAAACAAAAGTCTCCAATAGAAATAGGAAAATTTTTAGTCTCCATGTTTGAGGAAAATATAAATCCAATTAGATTAAAGTTGTTCTTTTTAATGCTTTGATTCCCCTGGGTAGTCAAACGCTGCTATTCTTAGAGGGTGAGATAAAAATTCCCTTCCCTCTCTCCTCACAGGGGGAAGATACTTCAAACAGCCTTTAAAGGAAAAGAAGGTTCTTGGGTAAAGAGAAAATCAGATCTTACCCAGTTTCATCCGCATTGCTTTCAGAGTGCTTGACAGTAGATTTGACTTCGGCTGTCTGCAGCCTAATGATGAGCCATATTGCTATGGCCGGTCTTTTCTCCGCCAGTTTGGAGGACTGCCTCGGATTGTAGCCCTCCCGCAATCAAGTGGGGGGTCCCCTCCTTGCTCGTTGCCCCTACAAGGTGACTTTTGACCATTTCCAGGGTCCCCCAGCAAAGGAAAATCGGAATGGAAGACAGAATCACCTTCCAAGCGGCCGCAGCGGCAAACCGGAAGTGAAACATCTTGTTCAAACCTTGAAATGTTCTTTTTTTTTTTTTGCTTTCTCAATTTTAGATATATTCCAAAATATTTTTCCTTAGTCATGATAATTTGGAATGAAATGGCAATCAGCAAAGAATACAATGAGTTGGGCAGCATACAGGTTTAATTTCTTATTTGTTTATTTTAACTTTTATTTATTTTTAGTATTATTATTATTGGTGGCACTGTCAGTAAGATGTTTAGACTGGATTGCCAAATCCAGTGTAAACATTTGGCTAACTGTGTGACCAACCATAATAATAAATTAAACTTGTATGCTGTCCAGTGTTATTTACTATTTATTGTTGTTTATTTATTATATTATCTCTCTCTTCCATATGCTAAAAAACTATTATTATATCTTTCCTCTTCCCCCTGCTGAAAAACTCTGAGCCTTCTACTCAAAAGAACACTGAGTTAAATTGACTTTCAGGAATTGTTTTGGTTGTGGTGGGATATAAATGCAATAAGTGAATAAAATAAAAAATAGAAACAATATTAATCATGATTTCATGATCAAATGGAAGCCTTTTGTTTATGGGAGATAGACATTGAATCAAAATCATTGGCATAATTATCTATTTGTGGTGTGCACGCATGTTTTGTCATAGTATTTTATAAGATCTTAGGCAGATCTTGCACAATAGAGAATGTTTGCAACTTTTCAGTTATATCAGAAACATTTTCTTTAAATTGTGTCTTAATTTTACAGCTCTTTCAAACATTTGATTGGAGGCCTGGATGATGTTTCCAATAAAGCATATGAGGATGCTGAAGCAAAAGCAAAGTAAGTCTCAGTTAAGCTGATTTTCTAATATTCGTTTTATTATTCTTTTTTAGTATGCTGCTTTTTAAGAAGGAGAGAGAACTAATTAAGGCATTTTTCTCTAAATACTCCTTCTTTCTTATCAAAAGAAGAAACTATAAAAAGATCAAATAAGAGAGAATTGCTCCTAATAATTAATTACTTTTTATTATATCATTTTACAAAGACGCAAAGCAAATAGAAAGTATTCTTAAAGACAATGGATAAATTCATGCAAATAAAAATTCCCCAGCCATATTATCCAATTCAAGAAGTAACTTGGTTAGTTTAGATACTATAATTCTTTGATTGCATTTGGTGCAATAGTTTTTCTATTTCTGTAACCATCCTTATAAAGGGAGAAAGCAGTCCTGATGTGAATGTCAGTTTGATTTTGCAGATCAGCTTAATGAAAATCATGGAGAGCAGACAAACCTCTTGTTAATCCCAAAGCAGTTATTCCAGAATCTTTTAGATTTTGGTGGCCCTATTGAAACAGTAGCTGCAAAGTTTAAAGTTGTGCTCCATAAACCACTGCATGCAGAAAGAACGGTATGACTATTCTACCACTTCCATCTGATTCACTTCCTCTTTTCCCATTACATTATTTTATTCATAACATAATAGCAGGATTGGAAGGGACCTTGGAGATCTTCTAGCCCAACCCCCCTACTCAGGCAGGAAATCCTGTACCATTTCAGACAAATGATTGTCCAATCTCTTCTTAAAAACTTCCAGTGTCAGAGCATTCACAACTTCTGGAGGCAAGTTGTTCCACTGATTAATTGTTCTATCCATCAGGAAATTCCTCCTTAGTTCTAGGTTGCTTCTCTCCTTGATTAGGTTCCATCCATTGCTTCTTGTCCTGGCTTCAAGTGCTTTGGAGAATAGCGTTACTCCCTCTTCTTTATGGCAACCTCTTTTGTATTTAGTTAATAAATATTTCCAATCCACCATGATTCTCAGGACAGGATGCAAATATTAAAACTACAATATGTCATGGCCCCATCGGAGCCTGGTTAAGAGGAGGAGGAGGAGTTGGAATGGGGACCGTCTGACAGGGATGCACATCTCCCTTGGCCTATTTGGAGAAGTCAGGAGCTGAGGATGATGCTGTCCCAGGCCCCTCAGGCATTGGAGGAGATGGTTGACCAGATGGAGAGCTGCCTATCTTCACAGACAGAGGAGAGGAACAGGCAGTGGTGCTGATAAGCAGCACATCTCCTCTGATGAGGAACGGCTGCCTCCTCCACTTGATCTAAGGGCTAGGAGAGCGGAGCATAGGCAAGCTCAGAGAAGGGCTGCAAGGCTACTCGGGAGAGGGCTGCCCCACCCCTCCTCCCAAGGAACACCTGGAATAGAGTGACTTAAGGAGAAGCTGTGAGGAGTTAGTCTTTGCCAAGAACAAATGTTTGTTTTGGATTACACTCCCCCGGCTTTGACTCATGCCTTTTTGCTTTGCTTTAAGGACTGCTTTTTGCCTTGGTTTGAGGACTGCTGTTTGTCTTACCCTAGCCCTGTGGATTGTACCTTCAGAACTGCCTTTGCGTTGTACCCTGTCTTTGCTTTGAAGACTGCCATTTGTTTTATGCCTGGACTTTGTCTTGAGGACTTTCCTGGTAATATATGGGCTTTGTTTGGGGGACTAAGGTTGGCTGCCTTCAGGGTAGCAGCAGCAGCTGCCCCAGTCAGAGCCACCGAGCAGAGGGGGGCCAGGCTGGGTGAGGGCTCCCTTTTGGCCATCTCTGCTGGCGCCGATGGGGCTGCGCTGCAGAAGGGAGACAGTGGCGGTTCTGATCACCTCTGCCAGCCATCCCCCCTCCAGCCCCCTGCCCGGCGCCCCTTCTAGGCAATCCTACATGACCATGGTGTGGATGAGAGGCTCAGCAGGCAGGGGGGACAGCTTTCCTCTGTGGAAGTATCCCGTCCCTCCCGTACCCCTAGCCAGGCCCCCTCACCTTCCCCCAGTCGGAGACTCTTGTTGACCCCCTCCAATCATTCTCTCCTGCCTCCCCAGCGGGAACCTCCAGCAATTCTGCAACCGGAAGTCCTTGCCCCCCCAACTGGGACCTCCACCCCCACCCCAACCGACCCCCCTACCTGCCCACCCTGACCAGGCAGAGGGAAGGCAAGGCAGAGAACCGGTTGTTAAATTATTTGAAACTACAGATATCCCACAGTTGCAAAATAAATGTAAGATCTGAAAGGAGTGCCGCAACCAACATGCTCTAGCTGACAAGGTTCTCTTTTGTACTACCACCATGTTTCTCAAGGTTTAACTTTATTTTATAGAATATAATCTGCAGGCTCTAAGTGCTAAATATATGAAGAAAAATGCATAGTGTTCTATCCTCAGAACACTATGTCAAGAAAATTATTTAATAATATGAAATAAAACACTGCTGGAAACACTGCTCCTTAGACTTGGGCATACATTTTAATTCGCATTTGGCAAATTGAAATCAGAGACTGCTATAATTGCTATTTATATATTCTTACACCTAAGTAAGCTCAATAAAAAGTTTTACAACTGTGCATCATAGTTTAATCTTCTCTGGAAACCCAGAACGTATTTTCTATCAATTTTTGAACTAAATGAGCAAAAGCAGATCCTTGAAAGGCAGAAATGGGAAATTTCCAAAATAATATAAAGTACAATTGGTGAGTTATTACATCTATAAAGGTTTGATTGTTCTGTAATATTATTGTAGAAGAAGAGACCATTCTACATTCTTTAACGTCTTTATTTTATGAATCTAGTTGTATGATCTGAGCAGCAGAATGGAGAATCACACATATAAATTTGATGTGAAATAAATAAATATTCATACTCAATTCTATAAATAAGCATATGTTCACATCTATACATTATGTGTGTATTCAGATATATAATATCTAAAAATTAAAGCTAAAGTTTTATCCATGGATGAGTAGGAAAAAACAACAACAGAATAACAACAGAAAGAAAAAAGAAAGAAAGACTCAGTCTCACTTTATCACTTTTGTACTCTGGTTGAATTATTTTTTTTAGAAATGAGGCTCATAAACAAAACAGACTCGTTTATTTATTTTCAAAATATATAATGCAATGAATAAAAGAAAACTGATCATATAACCATAAGCCTTTCCAAAATATAAATACAATAGTCCTCGATTTACAACTGATAGCTTAATAACTGCTCAAAGTTATCACAGACACTGAAAAAGTTATCTATGACCTGGATTCAAAGTTCTGACATCTACTCCCCCCTATCCCCCACAGCCACATGAATGCATTTTAGGCTCTAGAAAACTGGCCCACTTTTCTGGCTGTTTGCAATGTTCCACAGCCTCACAACCACAATTTACCTTTTTGCTGGAAACCAGCATTTACTTCTGGTTTCTGCCAAAAAAAAATCCCATAGTGAACAATGGGTTCACTTAACTGCCTCAGTGTTCACTTAATAAATGCCGCAAAAAAGGTCATAAAATCAGGTGATCTGCTCTACAGCCATCATGACTTATGACTGGAATTGTGGGCTCAATTACGTTTGTAAGTTGTGGATTACCTGTACAGAGTATAAAATGGAGACCAATAGATAACAGAACCACCCAAAGGTGCAACTCTTCACTCCGTTGGCCTTGTGCCTCGGGGAAGAGTCAGCTCTTAACCATTTTCCTAAATGTTTGTAGAATTGGGGCCTGTGGCATGTCAGGGGGAGATTGTTCCAGAGATCAGTCACCAAAATACTTGTAAAATAATATGTAGTTTTGGATTACATTTTTCTACAGTATCTTACCATCTGATATAAATAAACCAGTTATCGCTCTGAAGTTACTTATGTTTGGTGCTCTCAGAAGTTAGAATTTACAATAAGAATAAAAAAATATTAGTGAAATGGTACTTAAATAGAAGCCATATTAAAATCGCTTTCATAAAAATGCACATGAATATAAATCAGTTGCCAAGCATCCGAATTTTGATGCTGCAACTATTGTAAGTGTGAAAATGGTCATAAGTCACTTTTTTCAGTGCCTTTGTAACTTCAAACAGTCACTAAATGAACTATTGTAAGTCAAGGACTACCTTGACTACTACATATAGATAAGAAAAGATACATATGTAATTGCTACAGGGTGTACATATCAGCAGTCTACATTCATTCTTTTTCACTATAAAGAAAGAAATTCCTTTTTAAAATATTATTCTGCTTATAAAAACATGAATCTGCATAATGCACATGGAATTCAACATATGCATTAGCTTAGAATCAACACTTTTGTCTCAACCTGTTCTGTTCAGTACGAAGAAAAGTGTAGATACCATCAACTGAATTGCCAAATATAAATCATAAAAAGCGTCTTCATTTGTCCAAACTGTAAAGTTCCAGCAATAGGTTGCCTTGTCTTATAACTTTCAAAGCTTGCTGCGCTTCTGGTGTCACTTTTAAAGACTGTTGCACCCCACTGAATCTTTTGTTTTTCTTGTACAATACTGTAGGAATTGAACTTTTCTGAGTAAAAACTCTGTTTCTTTGCATAACCTTAGAGATCTTTCCTATCTTTATATAGATAAGCAGCCATTTCTTATGAGTGTAATGGGCTTCATATTGAAATTTCATGATTTTATGTAGCTTTTGGTTCTGTCAGTTTTCTATAATATATACCCTATTTATAATTATATATATAATCTACTATAACTATTCTATATGCTTTTTACATGTCTATCATTTATCATCTGTCATCTGTCTGTCTCTCTGTCTCTCTGTCTCTGTGTCTGTCTATCTATCATCTACCTACTTACTTATCTATCATCTATCTATAAGATAGTGACTATCTTATTTGCCTGCTCCATTAAAAGACTGCACGATGCTATGGCAGACTACACAGTTTATATTAATGAAATGTGCCAATTCTTTTTTAAAAAAAAATCTATGGCATATTTGCATCTGCATAGTGCAGGCCCAGCCTCCAGTCTCAACTGAAGCATAAAAATGTATTGT